GTGATGCCAATATGGGAAACAACAATGATGATCATCAGCATCATTGCTATTTCCGTGCCTCAGTGGCACACCATCCCGTAAATCCTTCCCTGGCAGCTGGCAACCTCTGATGCCTCTGACGCTGCTGAGTTCATGAACAAGGGCCGGCTCATCGATCGCGTGTTGCTGTCCGGCTCGTCTGCCCCCATGCGGCTCTACTGCGTGCGAAGCCCAAAAGTTGACATATGTTTGCGTGAAGAACACAGGGGCGGTTGGTATGGTTATGTATGGTCAAAAGCAGGATAACAACAGGGCCACGTTGCTGGTGTTCATATTTGATCCTCCACTTGGAGGTAAGGGAGACCATAGATCCATAGATCGGATTGGCCTACAATTCCTCCAAGATCTTCCAAGAATTGTGATGATAAAAGCTCACCGAAGGAAGCCGTCACCCAACAGCCAGTGAAGCTCCCTGAGGGATGCCCATCCCATGGCAGCTTGTGACCTTGTGCCCATGCCCTCAGGTGGACTTGGACTTCTGGAGTCAGGGCCTGAACTCTGGGTGTTGGGATGTGGCTGAGCTATGCTGAGCTCACAGCAGCCGAGCTCTGCAGAGCTTCTCCTGCCCGCTGAGGTCTAGATGTGGACAGAAGCCGTGGTCCTCTAGTAGCTTTGAGCACGTCCGGAACTCCAGATACTCACAGCACGTCCTTCCATCTCCTTTGCAGGGAGAGTATTGGGTGCAGTTGCGGTGTCCCGGGTTGAGGTGTCCCGGGAGGACGAAATCATGTGCTGCATTTGCTTAGGAAGAACCGCTATAGAGCGCGACAATTCATCGCGAGTCAAAAGCAAGACAAGTGGAGCGAGGATCGGGAGTCCAACATGTCAAGGTGACAGTGGGTGTTTCACCCTTTAGACAGAAAGATCAAGGGTGTGTCACAACAAACATTGCATCGTTGGGGGGTGTCCCGATCCTGTTTCCACGAATGCGGGTTACCCAGCATCTTAGATTTGTATGGATTTATAATCTACATCATCTACTCATGATGTTTTCCAGCCAGGTATGTCAGGTATGTCAGGTGATCGAAGGGTAAACCTCACACATATTTTGCATATCATACATGTGTATACTATCTTGATTGATCTTGATTGTAAACATGAATATATAAATGGATCAATAAATATATATATATATATATATAAATATACACATACATATTCACACACACAATATATATATATATAACATACTGTATATATATATTATATTCTCTCATGTGCATATATTATAGATCCATATTTCCCCAGAACCCCCCGAACCAACGCCGGCGTGTCGCAGGAGTCCCGCATGGTGACGGCCTTCGACTCGGACCCTTCCATCGGGGTCATGCGGCAGCGGTGTCCTGGCAATGAAGGCAAATCCCAAAACATCCCAAAATAAAATGGATGATTTTGAGGGTAAATATCTAATATGGACGATTTTGTGGGTAGCCCCATCTATGGAAATGCCATCTAATAAATGGCACAGACACACTTGAAACAGTAATATTATATATTGGTTTAGATATCTCGTACCCTGTGGTAAATTAACAGTTTGATCCTGAAAATAACCCATTTTGAGTGGAAACTAATCTAGTCCAACCCCTATCTGGCAGGGTCTATGTTAGTTTGCCATGGAGTGTATACATTTACTTTATTCATATATATATATAGCACACATCATGTATCAATGTACCAACAATGCTGGCCATAGATGTTGGGGGAGGTGCAGGGCCAAGGACGGTCGATCTGGAATCAGTGGCTGGACCTGGTTGGAATAAAGGGTGAACCGCACATGAGCAGCAGCATTCCTGTAGCATGTTGCTTATTTCTGGGGGTAAGAATTTTGGATAAATCCCGTCTTCTGCTATTGGTCGAGGGAAAGGAATGGTGCAGTGGTACTATACTACTATACATTTTTTTTCGTCCTGGTGGAGGAAAGTTGTTTTACTTCATGATGGTGAAATGTGTATAGAAAGGGCGGGTAAGTTGGGCAGGTGGATTTTTTTTCTAATGAAATTTTGGTATTGTAATTTGGTTGATACCTACCTGATGGCAAACTTGGGCATGGGCATGGGCATGGGCAATCGGAGTGTAGTTTATTGTTCTGGGTTTGCCACATTGATAAGCATGGTTGGCAAGTTCCCCTTTCACGGATTGTATATCCTGGGTGGTCCATTTTGTTTTGGTCAGTTGATGACCATGCAGAGCAGTTCTCCAGTGCCTCTTTAGACGTCGGGATTGATGGTGCCGATTGGGAGTGTGTGTGTGTGTGCGCCTGCATCCAGGTATTCGATTGAGTTCTTCCAGCTCTTCAACATGGGGACTGAGTCTCAGAAACCTAGATGCCTGAGGGTCAACCCCGCATTGAATCAAACAAGAACCATAAGAACCCGTCTACTTATCTGAGGGCCCCCCCACAAAATGAGTGCACATTTCCCAGCAGGGAATGCTGAATGCTACTCCCCCAGGGCTCCGATCATGTCATCCCAGGGTGCTGAGGGTGCTGCTGAGGTATCAGAACTACTCCCAGGGAGAATGGCTCGTAGCCCGACGGATGTTGTGGCAAACTCAGCCAGCTGACCGTTTGACCTGTGCCATGGGGGGCAGGCCACTGGTAGATGTTGCCATTGATGGTCCCCTTGCCTTTTTCGGCTTCTTTACAGGGTAGATTGAGGCAGTACGAGGTTCAAAAAGACGACCTTTCCATCCATTCCATCCCTGTATCATAAGTTATCATAATATATTATAATATGGCATGATATCAGATTGAAATATGGCTTTCATCTTGCAGGTTCTTCTGACTGATCTGTCACTCAGGGCCGAGACGAAGCATCTCCTTGGAGTTGAGGATGGGCCCAGCGCTGCTCTCCTGCGGTTTATGGAGGACTGACTCGTCTGAAAATGGGATGCACCCCCTAAAATGCCACGGGATGCCCTATCTTCAGGCACAACCCAGATGACATAGCCACATGTTTTGGCATTTTTGTAGCACTGACTAACACATGCCAACACTTCAGTTTGGGCTAGGGCAGGGGAACCTGATGGTGATGGATAGAGAGAGAGAGAGAGTCCAATTTTGGTGTCCTATAAATTCGACCCATAGGCATATCTTTGCATGATGGGGTGAGGCAGCCCCCTCCCTTCCTGCAGGATCCATATCAGTTTGAATGCCCAAAAGATTGGAACGAGGTGAGAGACCTGTGATGATCTCAGACTTTGTGGCAGCTACGGGGCAGAGCTTTGATCGCGTGTGGCTACAAGAGCACTGCTCTAAGGTCATCAATGCTCTCATGATCTTGGCGTTTCCGTGGCGCAAATGCCACGGCCCCTGCATGGCTCCTGGGAATTCCCGGGTGTTCCGCTTTTCGCGCCACAAAAGGCGGCGCTTTTCGCCGTGTCACATCGGCGGGTTGATGACAACCGGGTCGGCTTCCCTGGATTCATCTCAAGGGATAAAGTCATGACCATCTTAAGAGTCTTAAGAGTCTTAAGAGTGTATTATGATGTACTTTGTGTATTGTATATTATTGTATGTGATTATACAGCTTCGGCTTCGCCCCACCTTCCAACCATCAGCTCGCAACCACCAATGCTTGTGGGAAATAGAGATTTCGCTTTGCTTGAGAAGTACCGAGCAAGCAGAGGAGAGAAGTGTATAGCGCAAAGCATTGAAAGATGCTCCCATTTCAGACTGGTCCCTTGCTCAGCCCCTTGGGCTTTGAAAGTCGAGCAGTGTCAAGGTATGTCAAGGTGTCAAAATGGATGCATTGCAGGAACCTCAAAATTGATCTAAACCTTGTTCCAAGATGCTACTTGTAAGGCCTTCATCTCATAGCTTACGACTTGATTATTTTTCAGCTATAAGCTATCATCTACCATCTGCTATCATCATCATTATCCTTTTCTTAAATGACTTGGCTGGGGCTGAACATCGTCCGACTGGTCATCGCCCAAAAGGGCCCCCTTTGCACCGTTGAAGTCCGTTGCCTGCAGAATGGTTGAGCAAAGGCTTCAGCAGCCGCCCTAGATAAAACCCTTTACTGCTATGATATTGGATATATATATATGGATATATGATATGACTTTTTAATCATTGGATAATAAGAACTGATCCTGATTAGACGAATGTCAGTTCAATATCAATGAGATGTATTAGATAATGATAGTGAACTGATAAGGTTGTTATTCGGCTATTCATAACTGAAAAAGTTTGTTATAAATAGAACAGTCACCATCCATGATAAGATCCTTGAAAGATGACATTTGGAGATGGCAGATGGTACGCATGGCGGCTGCACCTTTGCTCAATGCGCCTGGGGCTTGCTACGTGTTGCACTGGTTTCACCTATCGAAATCGTGGAAAAAAAACGTGTAGAATTAGGATGTGACCAGCCGCGGGTAGAGAATTTGGGTTTCCAACACCTTGACCGACTTGAACTTTTTCTTTTGGTTGATTTCAGAAAATCGATGATTTCAGCAGCCGATGTGAAGGGCGGAAGATGCGCCACGGATTCTCATTGAACATCCCTGCTTTGGACGCCTGCCATGGGAGTCAGATTGTCGGCGGCTGTTTGCATACCTCGTGGCGTGGCTCAGGCAGCAGCATCCTGCAGCTTGGGCCTATCATGTTGTCCCAATGTTTTCCTGGACTGAGGTGGCTGAAGCGGCCTCTAAATCATTTTCGCAAACACTATGGTACTCCCTGGGCGCTTTCAACAACTTTTACAGTAATTCTTGCGGCTGAGAAATCCACTATGCAGTATACTCAGTTTTTTAGCAGGGAAAATCAGCACAAAGACAGTGCCATCGACGATAGTGGCATCGTTCCTCCCAGCATCATCATGGCATAACATCTTGAAATCGCCATAGGGATTTAAAAAGTACCTTTGCCCACCTTTCCCTAGACGACTTGACATTACTTGACATTCTTTGACATTACTTACTTGAGGTTCATTCAGCAATTCCAATCGGGTGGCCTCTCCACCGCGCATTTTCTGCTGCATTCCGCTGCCATGTCAACCTTGAAGCCGCCACTGCCACGCTCTGAATCTGAGCTGGGCCTGGCAGCCTGGAGATATTTGGGGATCTGTCCTGGCTGAAGTCGCGATGTTGAGCTCCAATCCATGTGATCTGAGGCAAAAACCTGGAAACCAAGGGCACCAACTCCTACTACTACGCGCACAATGAGTCCTGGGAGGCTCGGCCATCCATTGGAGCCACTGGAGCCACTGGATCCATTGGATCCACTGGAGCCGCCAGGTGCCCGGGCATGCGAAGGTGAGATCAGGGTGCGGGGCCTTGGTGTTCCCATCCCACTACTGTAAGTTCGTAGTGGCTGACATCCCCGCAAACCATGGAATAGAAGGAATAAAGGAGATGTGAACATGCCAAAAGATCCCACGAGTACCTGCAGATCTTCTCAATGCACCTTCAAAATCAAGCAGCTGTGACAACAGCATCCCAGGCCAGGGCTGGTGACTGGTGGGGCGCCCGTGAAGCTAGGTGCGGGGCTAAGGATGGCCCTGACGGGGGGGAGTTCATCTCCTTCATCTTCTTTTGCCGCGAAGGTCATCCACATAAATCTTTTTGCGATGTCATGTGGCAAAGCCAGTATCAAACTTATCAAACCATCCCATTCACGCATGAAAGGGGGCCATAACAGAAGAGGAGGCAATATAACATCATACATATCATACCATTTACCCAATGCCATAAACCTCTGGGGATGGTTTACGAGGTGCGGATGGACAAACCCAGCAGGTGCAGGCGGGGCCTTTGCGCCAAGGGCCAGGAAAAGAACGGTTTCACCGGATTCCAAAATTGGGTGTCGCGTCGTGGCCATGGCAGGGCTACCAGTCGCCTCATGGAGGTGCCGTTGTTCTGGCCATGCGTCTGGCTACCTATCGCATTTTCAGGAGGTTAACTTAACATCCAGCTATTTTATGCTAGTTTGATGTGAACGAGAAGGGGGTACAGGATTTTCAGCCCCATCTATTTCCAAATTGATGAAGACTGATGAAGTCCACCAGAATTTATCCTGTACGAGGTTTTCATCGTTCTCCATACCGAGCTGGCAGTACTGGTTTGTAGAGGCCCTTAACTAGAAACTAAGTGATCCAAGTGGTACTTCCAGCATTCCGTAAAACTGGAGCTGTGCCTGATAGATCCTGATAGTAAAATTTCGTAAAACCGAGAGGCCACTGCCATCAGCTGCCCCCTGGCTGACAAAACACAGGCGATGACGTCACAGGAGATGTGGTAGCGGAGCTGCGAAAAAGAGTGGAAGAACTGGAAAGCCTGGATCCCAATGGCTAATTTGCAGAAGTTTGGTGGTTGCTTACTAGATCTTACTAGTGTTGTCATTGCTACATATTGCTACTGCTATTAATATTGCTAGCACGATTGCTAATGATTATTATGAATCGCATTGTTATTGGACTGTTCATACTGTTCATTATCATTACTTCCATCAGTATTACCTTGATTGATTGTATGCTTTGTTGATGAATGATTGCCCGCGGATGGCTTGTTTTGATAGTCGGTCTTGCTGTTGGTTTGTGGGCTCAAAGTTCAAAGACTTTCGGCGAGCCAATCGGAGGGCCCAACAATTAGTTGGGCACGGAATTTCTGTGGATCTGATCGCTGTATGGCAACGCCAAAAAGATCGAGTACTGCAACTTAATGTAACTTACTACTACCATCCACTACCACGACCTACCACGACATCTTAGTCAGTCCGATGTCTTTTTCTTTTTTTTTTTATGTGGAGGTTGCGATTACTAAAATCTCGTCTCAGTATGTCTCAGTAGTTGCCTCCTATCGCGGCAAGGTGAACTGGTTCAGGCTCGGGCGGGAACCAAAGCCATCTCGCAGTTCTCCTTCAGTGACGAGGGGGCGAAGTGTAAGGCACCGAGGGCCATGGCCATGGCGGGGAGGAAACCACTCCTGTCATGCCACTGATCTGTAGTTATGGCTAGTAAGATGTTTTCATATTTTGATATTTATTATAGCATGATATAATTATGATATAATTATGATATAATTATGATATAATTACGATATAATTATGATATAATTATGATATAAATATGATATAATTATTATGATATAATTATGATATAATTATGATATAATTATGATATAATTATGATATAATTACGATATAATTATGATATAATTATGATATAAATATGATATAATTATGATATAATTATGATATAATTATGATATAATTATGATATAATTATGATATAATTATGATATAACTGATATAACATGATATAACCATCCACTGAAAATCTCCATCGGAAGCCGCCAATTTGGATCAATTTGGTCAGGTCTATGTTGATGTTGAGAAGGATGTGCTGGAGAGGCAGCTGGAGCAGGAAGATTCCAACTCCACCAGCGAGGCGATGGGGGAAATGCGGGAGCACTGAATGTGGACGATATTTGAATGACATGGGGCCTTCCTAAAATGGGGGGTACCCCCAAATCATCAATTTTAAAATAGTTTTCCTTCAGACATCATCCATTTTGGGGTACCCCACTTTAGGAAACTTCCATATATCAGCATATATCTGAAGATATCCAGCTAATATTCCAAATACTTGTCCAGCATATATGAATTCAATTTCGTTGATTTTTTTTGGTTGATTTGTGGCTTACAGTATCCGAAACCATTTTCTCTGTGAGTTATATGGCATCTTGTATTACCAAGCGGCCATGTCATGGCAAGGCAGCAGTGGTGGTCTCCTTTTGTGGCAGGCGCAAATCTTGACATTTTTTGAGAGAGTTTCCTGGATAAACCTGCTTCACACCATTGTTTCTTGGGTGTCTGAGATTCATTCACTTAGGGCGAAGGGATTGTTTGGGTAGACCTTGGATTGGAGCTTCAATGCTTTAAATCTCTTGCTACAAATGGAGGTTTATACTGACAAGTTATTGTTTGCAGGGATATCTAGGATTGGGAATGGATGTCCAAACAAAGGTTAAGCAAAGGATTGCGGCAAATTTTGATCCATTCCCAAGGTGTTCCCAGCAACTGACATTCTTCGACAGGGCCTATAGTGAAGGCATCGTGAATTTGTGCGGTGTTTTCTAAAACCTTGTGTTTAATGGTTCTGGAGGGTTGAATTATACCTCTCCTGATCGGGAAACCATTAACCATGATGCCATGATTGCACGATTGCTTTTTTTTTACTATCCTCCCCCCTCTCCTCATTGCCATCATCACTATCAAAGTGCCATTCTTATCATTCTCATCACTGCTGTTTTTGTTTTGTTTTATCATCATTGTTCACGTTTAACAAAATTATCAGCACCATCATCAGCATCATGATCACCACCATGATCATCATCATTTAATCATCAATTCGGTGATGCTCATAACCTACAAATCTTTTCATCATCATCGTCATCATCATACTTGTAATCATCATCGTCATCATCATCGTCATCGTCATCATCATCATCATCTTCTTCTTCTTCAACGGCATTATTATCATTACTTAATCATATTCGCTCATCATAAGCATCATAATATTTCCGCGTTATATTCCTGGGTTATTTTTATTCCACATTTACCCATATCATATCCCCATTGGATATCCTTATTGGATATCCCCATTGGATATTACTATCCAATTGGCTCATTATTTTCATTATCTATATTTTCTAACCTTTTCATAGTCATCATCCTTTAATCAGCGTTTGCTTATCATCATTGAGTCACTATGTAGTCATCGTTTGAACATCATTTTGTCTTCATTGTATCCTAATATATCCCACTATATCCCCATTAGATATCCCATTGGATATCTCATTGGTTCATTATTGTAGATTATATCACAATGACCTAAACAATCTCCAATTGACAAGTATTTCTATTATCTCTCTCTCTCTCTATCCATCCATCCATCCATCCATCCATCCATCCATCCATCCATCCATCGATCTATCTATCTATCTATCTATCTATCTATCTCTATATATACGTATATGTATAAGTACAATTTATATCCTATAACCTATAACCAATGGTTCATTATTAGTATTATTATTTCCAGTTGATAAGTAAATCTATTATCATGGTATTGCTATTAATCATTACTCTTTTTTTCTCCATCACACCAGGAGCTGCAGCCTCCGAATCACCCTCACGGCACCTGATGGAGCTGTGTTGGAGCGACGTGCTTTGACGCTGGCGCCTGGGCGGCGGCGCTGTGCCGCTGTGCGGGGTGGATTATGGGAGAATTTTCCAGGGGGAATCCTGGAACGTCTATAGGATTCTATAGGACACCAGGGTTTTTTCATGTTTTTTTTTGGCTCTTCCACATTTTTTCCCATGAACTATGAGGCTTTCCTGGCAATTGTTGGTCAAAGCACAATCCAAAAATTGGACGATGCTGCAGCAACTCGTTTTGGGGGCCAGGTGGGTGACTCGGACATTGTCCCAAAGAAGTGCACCTACAAGGCCAGCTCAGATATGGCGGCAATATAAGCAGTATTTGGTTTGAATCATCACATACCCGCATATATATATATATGTCTCATACATATGTAACACTCCCTCTCTACCACATTATATATATATATGGTACCCCCCCCAAAGATGGCACGTCTCCAGCCGCAGTTGCTTAGTAGTTGCTGTTGGCTCTTGGGCTCCTATCCCCTGTGCTCAGGTCTGCATGGATCTTCCCCACCGGCTTCCCGGAGAATGTCCTGGCGCAGGTTATCGCGAGCCGCGTGCACCCAGGCACACCGCCTGGAGCACCGCCGCCGAGCCCCGGAACTCCTCCAGGGCCACCGCCTGGAACTCCTCCAGGGCCACCACCTGGCGTGGCATCGTCTGTGCTGCTCGCTGTTCCTATGACTCCGCCGGAGCTGCTGGAGCACTTGCTACCACCTGGCACGCCAGAAGGCGCGTGAGATGGATGCAGATGCGAGAAAAGAAGAGTCTGGGTGTTGAGCAGCTGCACACTTGTGACATGTACCTAAATGTGTATGTTTGAGATTGTCTGTAGCATTTCAACTTCCACTCATACTGTCTTGTCTCTCTTTGCACCGCAGTAGAAATGCATTTAATTAAAAATGGAAAAAGAAACAAAAGGGCTGCAAGCATTACACATGTTAATTCTTCTCAACACAATGACACAATGCATCTTCAACTGACATATCTGTCCTGCAGCCTTCTCAAACTTTCTGCCGGCTACTTGCTTGTGTCCTTCCGCATCCTGCCCGGTCATGGCCAACATCGACACGGCGTTCGTGGATAGCTTCAATCGCGAGAATGGAGAGCACGATGGCAACATCACATTCGAAGAAGCTCTGGTTCATGTCAACGGCCTGAAGCTCAACGGTCCTCTATCCTCTGAAGTCAGATCGTGCCCCAGGTGATGTCAACATTGGTGACATTCCTCTCCGCGACATGTCAGACACAGCTGGAAAAGTGGAGCAATTTGTCGATGTCAATTTGAATCTGGCGTTGGGTCCAACACAATCTTTTTGGGACAACACCATCTACCGGCTCTGCTCTCAAGCCAAATACTCTGAGTTATCGCCTCCGTTTTGCTTGCAGAAGGAGCCCAACTGCCCCTACAGTTTGCAGATCATCCTGATTCCTTCAACTATTCCTCCTGATCAAGACAGAAAGTACTTCAATTTGGTCAAGCACATCTACTTGCACAAGAACAAGCTTTGGTCGAAAGATTGCATGGCCCTTTGCCAAGGATCGCCTCTGCGCGCCGATTGGGGAGCACAACCTCGAAGTGGCTTGATGGCTTTGAACTACATGTTTGATAGAATGGGAGGAATGCAAATTCGCATTTGGTCCATTAGTGCCAAGTATGAAAAGAAGTTGACGCTAGATCAAAGTGCACGAGCAGAAGGCTATCGATTCATCAGGGACTTCGGGCCGCGCGCCAACAACCGCAACCAATTCATGGAGTGGGCAGATGAACAAGTCCACATGCCCGGCGGGAAGCTTGAAGGCTGGAACGAAGGCAAAGTACGAGAAGCCCTCAGCAATTACCAGAGAGGCAGACAGAATGCCAAGACGTTGGAGTATTGGCCATTCACTTTGAAGTCCTTCGTGCCGTGGTTTCTCCATGACATCTTGACCAAGATGTTGCCTACAATGCGTCAACATGGCATCACTTGAATCGGCAAGACTCGGGCAGGCAAGTCCTTGGGCTCCAAGACAGTGCTCTTTGCGCAATCTCGTTTTGAGATTGAAGCGGCTGCGCGCGAAGATCTTGTTCCCAGCATTGTGACAGCGAAGCACTTGGATGTCTTCAAGGCGGAGCCGATCAGCAAGTTCAAGCCCGGTGTCTTTGACGATGGGATGCTTCAGAAGATGGATGCTTCCTTCCTGAAAGCGTTCCTGAACCCTGGAGCGCCTTGTCTGCACTAATGCCATGGTCAACAAACTTTTTGTTTGTTCACAAATATCACTATATTTCATGTGCCATCACTTTCTTTGCCTGTCACACTGTTGCATTCACATTCCATGTCTACCACTTTGCCCCGCTTTGCAGGAAGAAGACGCTACCGTCTGGGCGCGCTACTCATCAGCGCAGTTTGACCAGGGTGCTGGAAGACATGCCTGCAATAACCCATACAATGCCAAGTTGGAACTCGAGATCTTGGAGAATGCATCCAAAGCCGCCAAGATGAACTGCATCTTCTACAAGGACTTTTTGGATCTCATTGCTCCTTCCTTCGGTGGTGTGGAAGACGCCGAAGATATGGCTGCAATTCTTGCTCGAACACATTTGATTGTGTTGACTGAGCAGGGCGTGTATTGGCGTCTAGCCGGCACATCTACAGATGATGTACCTTTCAATGCGTGGCCTGAGAATCAATCCAAGGATCTTTTGATCGATGCCCAGAAACCCATCTTCAAAGAATACAAGAAAGACCCGGCTGCCCACAGTCTGCCTCCCAACTTCCATGCAGATTCTGTCTGGTCGCAGGAATTGCTTCGCAAGCTGCTCGCAGGTGAGGAGATTCCTCGCACCATCACCATCCGCGGAGCTTCTTTGTTTGGTGCTGGTCCTGTAGAAAGGCATGAAGTTCCACGTTTGTTGCCACATGCGGAAATGCAAAGCAGAGTGAAACAAGAACAGGTAAATCACGCCTTCCGCAACTTGAAGCGGCAGCCCATCCACGCCGTGATCGATCTCGACTCTCCTTCTCCAGTGAAAAGGCCTCGCTCCACAGTCTTCCCAATGGAGCCGGTCGCAAATCCTGATTCATTGCCAGGCATGGAAGTGGACATGGACATGGATGATGGCTTCCCAGTACCAGGCGAAGCAGACCCCTTGGAGACGGCGCTTGAAGAAATGATGGATGGGGAGCTGAACAACGAGATGTGAACGCGTGCGCCTAGTCTTAGTCGATTTCAAGCAGCTAGAGACTTAGAGCTTCCTGTATTGCCCTGCAGATTTTGACACGAAGAGATTACAGCTAGCCGGAAAAAAGAATTGTCCTTAAGTTGCGCTGCGTTGCTGTCAAGTCCCATTCAAGAATATAGAAACTGCAGAATGAAACATAAGCTTTCTTGCACATACAGAAGCAAACTTGCGCAGATGTGCGTCATGACATTGCATGTTGTCATATATGCTTTGCTGCTCCCTCATTGTAAATAGCTTTTGGGCTCATATTCATTGTGACACATCTTCGTGAAACAACATGGCTCCTCATGGCAAGTTCCGGCCTGTCCCCCCTCCCAAAAGAGGAGTTCAACGGAAGATTCACAAACGGCCAGCAGCCAAGAAGAACGAAGCATGGAAGAAGACGCCGTATGTGCAGAAGAACTTTGCTTCCCCGGAACTTCGCAGAGACCGAGCAAAGTGGAAGCGCAGTATCCAAGAGCTTCTTGCTGCAAGTGACACTGGCATCATCCGTCTCTTGCTTGGAGATGGCATGTTGCCCAAGTTGGGGGGAAAGTCATGTCCTATTTGCAACAAAGGCATCTTAGGCAAACTGCAGCTTCGAGACAGTGGTCTTCCTCGGCACCGCTGCAATCGCAAAGGCTGTCAGAAATTCGTGACTCCTCAGCATCTACATCCATTGTTTACTGCAGCTCGAGGCCCAGAAGGACATTCTCTGCAAGTGCAGGCTATGGCTTTGTTGCTACTTATCTCCAACGTGCCTTTGAGCACAATCCACATCCTCACCAAGATGAACCACAAAGCCTTGGAGCGAATGTGGCGCAGTTTGGTTTTGGTCCGGAAAAGGCATGTCGAGTCGAATGAAGACAAGATCTCATTTGGTCAAGGTCCACACTGGCAAGACATCGAAGCCGATGAGGCGACATTCGACAAGACCGTGGAAGACTCAATTGCGCATTGGGAGCAGTGGGCTGGTCTCGTTGCGCGTGGTCGTCCAGAAACATTGGTCCTCTCACTCGCCTCACGCCTCCACCAACAACTGCCAGAGCACCTGGCCCAGGAGCCATTCGCAAAGTGGATTGGAAACCACTTGCGAACAAGTGGCTTGTAGGCAAGAAAGTCATTCTGCATACTGATAGTGCGCGTTCTTACAAGGCCAAAGTGCCCGGTGTACTGCACGACAGTGTAGTTCACCAAAAGAAACGCACCAAAGTGCGGGGAAAGTGGGTGTGGAAAAACCCGACTTTCGTCAAATTGCGAACTCACAAGCTGCCGAATGGTAAAACCATTCGAAGGAAGGCAGGCACGCAAATCATTGACAGGGCGTGGCGCTTTATTAAAGATCGCCTTCGCCTCAATCAATTCACAAAGGTAGGAAGTTTGCTTCTGCGTGCCCAGATCCGCTCCGCACAGTATGAGTACAGGCATAAGGGTCAGGATTTGTGGGCATGCACGGGGCAACTCCTATCGAACTATATGGCTGGCATTTTGGCCTAGATGTGTGCGCATTGGCAAAAAAAGGCTGCAACACCTGCGCCAGCTGTCTGAGCAACTTTCATTCACTCAAATCAACAATGCCATCACCCACTTGTCCTCTTCAATTTGGTTAGTTCGTCCACAACCTTACATATCCACCTGCCTATCAAAACAAGATGTTCCTTACCAACTGCTTTTCTACATCTGCTTCAAATACAAATACGCAAGGCTTGGCAAACACATTTTAAGCTAAAAATGGTAGATCTTTGGGGGGGGTAGCATATATATATATAAATATGATACAGTGCATCTGATTTTACACACACACATATATGCATGTATGTATATTACATGTGTATAATATATATATATATATAGTATATGCATTTACAGACTGGATTATAGAACCTTATGTTTACATGATTTTTCATTGTCACATACGATAAATTGTCGGAGATGCCCCGGCCCAAGGGTGTTAAGCGATGCCTCGTCACCTGGGGACATTTTTCTACTTGGGAGGTGGACCGCAGCAAGGGGCGCATCACTTTGAGTGGCGGCCTTGGTGGCAATCTAACCCTGTTGGTTGATGATTATATGGGGTTACACACGGGGATTATCATGATCATCATACTCCATTCGTCACCAGGCACCGCTTTGCCATGTAGTGCATTGCTTCAAATTGTGGATCCTGGAGCAGCTTGTGTTGGATGCTACACCCGCTCTGGCCAAGGTTTCTACAAGGAGGATGCTAAGAAAATCTGGCACAATGCCCGGGCTCCAGCTGCACCATCATATGGGGAGGTACAAAATCATTGTTGGTTGTGATCAGCCATGGTCGCATTGCTGACTTTCATGCACTGAGGTGAAACCTCAAAAGACGTGAGGCTGGTGGCAACTGGATTTTAGTTGGATCGATCACAGATTTTTGGCATTTGATGGCATTTGATGGTATTTGTATAGGCTGCCAATTCTAAGGATTCCGGATTCCACGGATTGTGAGGCCACATGGTTCCCCTATTTTCTCCAGCCATGCAGGCTCGAGGCTCAGATAGCAGAAGATCTTGCGCCAAAAAAGCTGGCAGGGCGCCAGGGTGTGTGCGGGAGAGTCAATTGGGCACACATGACATTGTGAAGGTTTGTATGAAATTGGGATAAACTGGGTACCCCGAAAATCTTATGTTTATCATCATTTTCTTGAGATATACCATACGTTTTTTTTGGAGAAACACATGCCGGTGCAAGACTTGGCTCGATCGCATGTGAATCAGTCGGTGTCAGGTCCTGATTTGGAGGCTTTGAGGTCCTTGTGGTTTGCCTCTCCGACTCCACAGATGTCATGGCTATGCTGCAGTGCTCTGCTGTAGCTCAACAAGAGAGAGCTTGGGAGCTTGGCTTTCACATCTTTCACCCAGGGGTGCATCAAGCGTGTTTGGTCTTCCTAACTGCAAGGCCCAAGTGGTTCAGCCACCTGAGCGAATGTGGCAAAGCCAACAATTTATCTCCAATAATTTACCAGAAAGTGGAATCACTTTTTACGGCATTGGGTTGACTTGCATACCATCAAACATCCCTGCAAGTATGAATGATTGAAGATTTGATATCATATGATATCATTAAAACTTAGCGGGCCGCTTTCAGGCAAACCCTCTGATTTGCCCACGACCAGAATATCATAAACATCCGCGCCAGTAGCTTCATTGTGCAATATCTATGGCTCACACTTAACCCATGTGCCAATGCCATGGGCTGCATCTTATGGCGCCATGCCAAAGGGAGGTCACTGATATCAGCTGCGCAAAGGTTGGCGTCCTTTAGTGTAAACCCTGGATGAACAAACTGCCAGTACTTATTGGTGTGTCTCCCTAAAATAGTGATAATTTATGACAATTTGAAATTCTAACAATGAAACCAACCTAAACAGGTACTTCGTACTCCTTCAGAGCAGTAACTTGGTGCTCCTACTTGGGTTTTTATTCCGGCAAATGGGTGACGCATACATTCAAAAAGATGAAACATGCATTTAAACCGGTGTTTCATCCAGGCTTCAGATTGGATGAACCATGTCCCAACACCCTCAGGTGGACATGGCAGTCTTGGACGTGGTGCCGGCAGCATCAAGGGAGTGATGAAGGGATTGGCGACAGGCCGGTGGCAGTGTGCAGTGGGCTTGAACATGCTAGAACTATGGATATATTCTGATATATTGAACATGATGGGGCCACCACACAAATTTTGGGATCAGTGAAGAGTGACAGCAATTTCTGGGTCAGGGCTCTTTTTTTTACTTTGATCCAGAGTTCCTCGTGTCTCTGTCAAAACATCCTGGGATGAGTGCAGCACACCGTGGGTCCTTTGACCGAGACCGCCGGAGTCGTGATTGGCACAACGCGCCGGGGCGCACAGTGGGGCCAGCTTCGGTGAGATCCGCAGTCCACACAGCAGCGATGTGAGCCTTGGAACACGAGGCTGCGGCGAATAGCAACTCTGCAGAGGCATGGGATGATGGCTGTGTGTAAATCCCAGTATGAAATACCGCCAAGATGATCAATATGGACACCAAAATGAATAGATCCAATACAGAACTAGGGAGGGTTTCCAAAGGGGTATTGAATGTTAGGGCCAAGGGATTAAATGTTTCCTGATGTTTGACTCTTCACGACAGTCATGAGATTATTGTTCAATAGGTGGTCAACGGCTGATAAACCATGCCAGTTTGTTGCAAAGGCAGCATATCAGAGTGGATGTGCTCCTCTACAGTGCAGCAGTGAGTGCCACTCGGCTAGATTTGTTGCGTCTGCAGGAATCCGCGGTCCATGGTATAGAATGGTATAGATGTCCTTTTCCCAGTGGTTGAGTTTTCAGAAATGATGGCGCCACACCGACCTCTTCTTTTTTTGCATGAAGGGTATCATATTTTGATGGTGGGTGCTTGTCTTTTTCGCCCATGCTTGAAGCTTTACTCCTTCTGATCACGTGCAAGCAGAGGTCTTTGCTGAGACCGGGCGGTGGCTCTTGGCGCAGTGGCTGTTTTCCGAGGAGCCTTTGACGGGTAGGCGGATGGTGAGAGGCACCATTGGCAAGGCATCAAGTTAGGGCACATGGTACATGGGGGATCTTCGGGGGTATCATATGAATCATTACGGATCATTATGAATCATAAAGGATTCATCTATGTCCATGCGTTTAGACAGACTATGAAAATTGTTGCGTAACTCACACTAAATACCCCCAAGCAGGGACCCCAGAATGAACAGATCGAACACAAAACCAGTGTTTCCAAATGTTTCCAAGAGGTGGTATTTAGTTGGGAGGATCGCCACAGATTCAGCCCCGCAGGCCCTTGAGTGTGGCGTGCCGCCTGATGTGGTCTTGCGTCTGGGATCCAGTGCTCTTATCTCGGCTGCGTTAGTCCCAGAAGACAGACATGTGGTCATACAATGATAGTGCCAAGAATTCTCGAGTCTGGGCACTAGAATGCGAACGAAAGTCAGTTGGGAAATCTCCAGGCATTGGAATCCCTAATGGGCGGTCGGAAGAATGGCGCCAGAACACTTATGCTCCAACAATCCATTGGGTAGTTGTGAGTTGCAACTCCATTTTCCAAAGTAAAATCAATTACAGTACTTGCTGAACTTGCTGATTTTCCATCTGGACATGTGATCGTTTGCGGAATCAGATCCAGTATCATTTTCTTGCCATGCCGGCTCAACAGTGCATGCTTTGGTGCCTTAATACATCTTGATACCTTACTTTAACTGCCAATCAGCAGCAGAATGAACATGGGTACACTCAGGGCAAACCTGAAAGAGGCCCTGGCAAAAAAACAGCAGCAGAAATCAAGGCATTAATGGCAGGGCGTCATCGTTCTCGATATAAAACGGAATAAGACAATGGTTTGAATTGAAGGAAACCCACTGATAACTGGGGTGATAACTGTGGGTCTAAGTGGGACGAACCAAGTGGATTACTAAGTGGTAATCCACTTACCCTCCGGCAATCGACCGCAATGGACAACCCACCATTTATAGATGATTTTCCCAGCAAAAGAAGCCTCCGTTTGCCCAGGATGAAGCCACCAGGTTGCCAGGTTGCCATCCCGTAGGCCGAAGTCACTCAGCTACCCTGGGACCCGCGTCAGTGCATGCAGCGGGGCATGGGGGGCAGCGGGTGGACTTCAAGTTGTGGGCCCTGGAGAGCCGGGTGACGCTGGGCGAAGACGAAGACCACTGGGGATGACTTGCGAAATGGATGTTGAAGACTTTTCCCCCAACAGCGTGAGCTAATGGGGTCTTCAGCCCAGAATAGCTCTAGGTTCAACGAGGTTCCGGAGAAGGTTCCGAACGTTCCGGAGAAGGTGTGGGAGGCTTTGGTGCAGAGCCAGGTCACGTTCAACAGGGTTCCAGAGAAGGTTCCAGGAAGCCTTGGTGGAAAGCCAAGTCAGGTTCAACAGGGTTCCGGATAAGGTTCCGGGGAGGCTTTGGTGCAGAGCCAGGTCACAGGGTTCCGGAGAAGGTTCCGGAGAAGGTTGCGGAGAAGGTTCTGGAGAAGGTCTGAGAGGCTTTGGTGCAGAGCCAGGTCAAGTTCAACAGGGTTCCAGAGAAGGTTCCAGAGAAAATTTCGGGAGGCTTTGGTGCAGAGCCAGGTCAGGTTCAACGGGGTTCCGGAGAAGGTTCCGGAGAAGGTCTGGGAGGCTTCGTGCAGCCGGTCAGGTTCAACGGGGTTCCGGAGAAGGTTCCGGAGAAGGTTCTGGAGAAGGTTCCGCGATGTTCCGGGAGCCTTTGGTGCAGAGCCAGGTCAGGTTCAACAGGGTTCCGGAGAAGGTTCCGGAGAAGGTTTCAGGAAGCCTTGGTGCAAAGCAGAGTCAGGTTCAACGGGGTCCGGAGAAGGTTGCAGAGCAGGTCCCGGAGAAGGTTTTGGGAATCTTTGGTGCAGGGCCAGGTCAGGACAGGGTTTCCAGCGCTTGGCTTCGCAGCAGCACGTTTCAGAAAGATTTCTAAAAATAAAACGTTGCGGCTTTTGGGGATACCACCAAAGCTTAATTTTTCAATGATGCGACTGTGACTGTGTATGAATTTTACTTGGTTGGAAGTCCCCGCGAATTCTTTGCTTCATCCTCTTTTGGTTTAACTGTTGTCATTTTAAGTATTGGGAAGCGCTTCCCTGATTGGGTTCCCAAGTGCTGGGTTGCCAGTGAAGGGATGGTTGGAAATGGTTGGAAGCATCGACATGATCATGACATTGCATAGCCTCACATGGTACTGAAGTGAAGCAACCAATCAACATGACTGGTCAGGGTTCCAGGCTTTGCCAAGCTCAAAGATATGGTTGTGATCCTGAACCTTGCACAACGATTTAGATGTTTACTGAGGAATCTCTCTGCGCAACCTCAGAGGAATTTTCATATGTGCTACTGAGCTGCTACTGCATCTTGGTTGCAGGCTTTGACAACTTTTTCATCCTTCTTCTGAGCGGGCGCCAAATCCCAGCTTCCCCTACTGAATTTAAGCAACTGTCTTGCAAGCGACAAGTGCCAGGTAATTCGGGGTTGCGATCAATCATGGAAGTGGCCGCAGGTGGGCAGTGTGCAGCGCGTCTGAATTTTGGTGAACCAGGGGCCGGCTGCAAACATTCAAAACAGCAGGCAAGCGCAATAAGATCAAGATCCTCTGGACAAGAAGCAGTTTCCGCCTTCGCAAATCCGTTCCCTTCAGCTTTTGAAACTGGTCAACGTCGGTTTCAAGAAATACAGACCTGTCAGAACATCAGAACGGGACCTGTAGCGACCGTGCAGGCAGACTGTCTTCGCTTTGGCATTCGCTTCCAGTAGCTCTGGAGCACTGCCCTTGGAAACCATCAGGTATGCCAACAAGCCAGGCACAGCAAGTGCAGCACCCCTAAAATCCAATCAGCCCAGCAGGTGTTGGAAGCAGCTGATCGACACATTTTGCAGATCTATATGAGTTCTTGGTGTTAGGGCTAGAAGATCATAAGGTACACTCATCACACTCAAAGTTGACCTGTTCTAATTGCTCAGAGGCCGGTATATCTTTTCATTCTTTTTCAACATATTTGAT